TTTTTGAGAAAAACAATGGCACAATAAAAAAAAGACTTTTCAGGTCTATGTCCAATCCCTCACTTTTTCTAGTTATATAAGGTTAAAATATTTTGCCTGTAATTTTTTTTCTCATATCGCAATATAATATCGATATCGCCTGGACAGTGTAAAATATCGTGATATAAATTTTAGCTCATATCGTCCACCCCTACTTCTGGCCACCTCTGCAGTGCAAAGATGAATTTTGTTGATACATCATATGATTGGTAACTTATTCTTCCTGATTGTGTCTTATTATTCTAACTCAATTTATAAATATGAATTAATGAATTTGATATGAAAGATGACATTTAATAAGGTTAAAAAAAACGTCCTTACAAAGGTTTTAAAAAAATCCCCAGAAAGTCATTCTAAGGAGTAAAATTTTGCCTTATAATGGGAAGGTTAATTTCTTTCAGTGATCAGAAGGTGCTCGTAAATTTTTGACTGTGCTCCTAAATTTTTTAAATTAGGAGCACAAGTGCTCCTAAAAAGAAATGTAAGTGCAGAGCCCTGAAGAGCCAGTGTGGTGAAGAGATGAGTCCCACCTTAGGACCCAAGCAATCTGATTGGTTCAAAGTAAAGTTTTATTGGTAATTGCTTTAGTGCCTGGTTACAAATCAGACAAAATCACTTTATTATACAAGTCGTTTGAACTGTGTTATAACTACCATTTATGTGTTTTAACTTATATGTTTCATTCATATACTAGTATATAAGTCTGTCTGTCCGTCATCTCATTTTTGTGTGCCAAATATATTAATTTGTATTGTAAGTAAATAAATAATTGTAATTGTACAGTAGTAATACAATTGTTTGACATTTTCAAAAGCTGAAGTGATTACCTTGTTTTATTTATTAGTTAGAATATATGTAACTCAATAGTTTAACTAATTGCAAAAGCTGAATAATTAAACAAAGCCTACATCGCACCTTCGGTGCTTGGCCCCTATAACTTTATTAATATTTTATTATAGCATACACATACAGTGCCCTCCACTAATATTGGCACCCTTGGTAAATATGAGCAAAGGTCAATGTGAAAATAAATCTGCATTGTTTATCCTTTTGATCTTTCATTCAAAAAATTCACAAAATTCTAACCTTACATTTAAGTAAAACAACTCAAGCAAAAACAAGCTCATTATGAAATAAAAAATGTTCTCTAGTTCACGTTGGCCACAATTATTGCAACGTCCTTTTCCCAAGATAACAGCTCTGAGTCTTCTTCTATAATGCCTGATGAGTTTGGAGAACACCTGAGAAGAGATCAGATCCTTCAGATTCCCAGCTCCATGTTGGTGGTGCTTCTCTTCAGTTCACTCCACTTATTTTCTATAGGGTTCAGGTCAGGGAACTGGGACGGCAATGGCAGAAGCTTAATTTTGTGCTCAGTGACACATTTTTGTGTTGATTTTGATGTTTGTTTTGGATCATTGTCCTGATAGAAGATCCAACCATGGTCCATTATAAGATTTCTAGCAGAAGCGGTCAGGTTTTGATTTTTTATTTGTTAGTATTTGCTAGAATCTATGATGGCATGTATCTGAACAAGATGTCCAGGACCTCCAGCAAAATAGGCCCACAACATTAAAGATCCAGCAGTATATTTGGGCATGGGGTACTTTTTATCCCTGTGTGCACCAAACCCATCGGGTGGGTTTGCTGCCAAAAAGCTCTTTTTTTTTAGTTTCATCTGACCATAGAACCAGGTCCCTTTTGAAGTTCCAGTCGTGTCTGACAACTGAATATGCTGGAGTTTGTTTTAGGATGAGAGCAGAGGATTTTTCTTGAATCCCTCGCGAACAACTTGTGGGGATGTAGGGGCTGTTTGGTCATTTTTTTTTAGGCTTTCTGACCCCAAGACTCAACTAATCTCTGCAATTCTCGAGCTGTGATCCTTGGAGAGTCTTTGGCCACACCTCCTTACTGTACATTAGGACACTATAGACACATGTCCTCTTCCAGGCAGATTTGTAACATCTTTAGTTGATTGGAACTTCTTAATTATTGCCCTGATGGTGGAAATGGGGATTTTCAATGCGTTAGCTTTTTTATTATTTGCCATTTTTTTGCCGACGAATGGGACGAGACCTGGTTGAGTTGCTCTAGAGAAGGCAACGAGTGTTATCACTATGTCGGAGACACGCTAGCTTTCCCAAGGCAGACGAACTTAGAATGGTTACAATCATCTGGGTTTAAATCGCGCTCAAATTGATTTGATTTTGATGCAATATTTACACTGAAGCTCGCAGGCAGCTATGGTAAGGGATATGACATTTCCCGACCAGGCGCCGAGTGCTGCCAATCACAAAACACACTGGCCCAGCTAACCAATCACAGCACACACTGGCCCAGCTAACCAATCACAGCACATTTCGTATTTCAGAAGGCGGGC